CTCACAGAAGGTTAGGGTTGGAAGGGACCTCAGGAGGTCATCCAGTCCAACCCCCTGCTCAAAGCAAGACCATCTGCAACTAGATCATCCCAGCCAAAGCTTTGTCTAACCAGGTTTTGAAAACTGCCAAGGATGGAGCTTCCATAACCACTCTGGGTAACCTGTACCAGTGTTTTAGTACCCTCCTAGTGAAAAAGTTCTTCCTAATATCTAACCTCAATTTTCCTTGCAGCAACTTGAGACCGTTGCTCCTTGTTCTGTCATCTGCCACCACTGAGAACAGTCCAGCTCCAGCCTCTTTCAGACCCACCTTCAGGGAGTTGAAGGCTGCTATTAAATCCCCCCTCAGTCTCCTCTTCTCTAGACTAAATAATCCTAGTTCCCTCAGTCTTTTGTCATAAACCATTTTTTTTTGTTCCCCAAACCATTTTTGTTGCCCTCCACTGGACTCTTTCCAACTTGTCCACATCCTTTCCATAGTGGGGTGGCAAAAACTGGACACAGGACTCCAGATGTGGCCTCACCAGTGCTGAATAGAGGGGAATAATCATTTCCCTCGACCTACTGGCAGCACTCCTACCAATGCAGCCCAGGATGCCATTAACCTTCTTGGCAACAAGGGCACACTGCTGGCTCAGCTGATTGTCCACTGTAACGCCCAGGTCCTTTTCTGCAGAGCTGCTGCCCAGCCAGTCAGCCCCAGCCTGGACTGGTGTGTGGGGTTGTTGTGTCCTAAGTGCAGGACTTTGCCATTGTCCTTCTTGAACCTCATGAGATTTCTTTTGGTCCAATCCTCCAATTTGTCTAAGTCACTCTGAATCCTAGCCCTACCCTCCAGTGTATCTACTCCTCCCCCCAGCTTGCTGTCATCTGCAAACTTGCTGAGGGTGCACTCTGCCATCTTCCAGGTTGTTGATGAAGACATTGAATAAAACTGGCCCCAGGACTGACCCAGAAGAAGGGAGAAGATCAGCAAGAAGTTTATTTGCAGGTCTTTAGATGATGTTTTCTGGGAGCTAACCATTTTCTACCATGCCTTCCATCTTCCCTTCAACAAAAGACTTAGGGTCTAGCCCTGCTTGCTTTGAAGGCAGCAATAAAACTTCTGTTAACTTCCGTGGGACCAGTCTTAGAAAGCAGACCAGATGGTCCACCAGTAGCAGGGAAGAGTGACACAGATAACAAATCCTCCACATCATTCTCGCTGAGTTTGGAGGGGACTGTTTCTTCATCCCTTCAAAAGCAACAGTAGGATGGCCAACATCTTCCCAGTTTGCAACCACTTGCTACAGGAACAAGAGAATACGGGGTCAGATTGTCAGCGGATGTAAATCAACTTAATTCTACTGAAGTCAGTAGAACAATGCTGAATTTACATGAGCTAAGGACCTTTTCAAAAGCCTGTAAGTGATTTAAGGAGCATAAGTGGATTTGTTTTCAAAACGTTTTGGTGGTGTTCAGTGAAACACTTGTTAACTGAGCATAAGGCTCCTCAATCACTTAAGTACTTCTGAAACTTTCGCAGCTCATGCTTGACCCCCTAAACGCCACGAGTGATTTTGAAAAGTAAAGATCATTAGAGTTTCCCTGTGAACGGCTTAATCAAAGATAAAAATAAGGGATTCTCTCTTTTGGGCTAGTGGACCACCCTTGACTTTGTGTTTGTGCAATGCTGAGCACAGCAGAGCCCCAGTCCTTACTGGGACTAGTAGGCATTAACATAAGACAAATAAGAAGTCATTTTGAATTCGAAGGCGATATTTGGAATGGAATTTAATTTAATGTATAATATAATTAAATACCATGTTTTCTGCCTCACTATTGTCTTGTGATGTCCTACCTGAGCTGTGTTTTGCATTGCTGTCTTCACCCTTTTATAGACAAGAACAAGAAGAATTGTTAATGTTTACAAAGTAAGTGTGGGATGGAAATACCATAAGCGTAAGGTTTTCTTGCGAGTGCCACAGTTGTACGGTATGTTGTTGGTGGGTGTTGATTCAACAGACTATACGAGAAGCAGAATGGGCTTATTTCACTTGAAGGGTAAAGACGAATGTTTCTCTCACTTGGAATATTGGTCTCGATTTCTAAGGGCTTGAACCTTGTAAGTCAAATATTTCACGTAGATTATCGGAGTATCGTCGGAAATAAGAATGGGCTCCAGTTTAATTTGAATTTTGAATTACCCAGTGTTTGGTAGTAATTGGGTTCACTCTGTTATAAAGGCAGGAGCCATTTGCAAAGTCCTGGACAGAACCCACATTCGGGAGCACCTTTGTCTGGGGTTTTGCGTGTGTGTATCTCGTGATTTGAACACGGATCTGTATATCTGGAAACCCAAGTTCTGATCCCGGATGTGCCACCAGCTGGGTTGACGTTGCTTTGCCACCAGCTGAAGTCTCTTTACTCAGGAGATCATTTAGTGCCTCATTTTTGGAAGGACAAAGTTGGCTCCCCTCATCTTTGAGACCCTCAGTGCCTTAGAAAACCAAGACAATCTCTCTTTATATCAGTTGTCCCTTCTCTACAATGGGGTGAAATGCACCTACTGCTGTAAAAAGTTTACAAGGGCTTTGATTGCTGAGCGTTAGTATTTTACTGAAGGCCGATCTTTGTCAAATAAACCAGGTGAAGTATGTTGAGAGTGAAGGGTGAATCCCAGGACTCGGAGCAAGCAGGCTCCCTGTGTCCCACAGTGTTGGTTTGCTCTGGTTAAACACTCCAAAGCTTCACGGCTTATCTGAAGTTTCTCTGAGCCTGTTTGTTCAGGAATCCTCTGAGTATGGTTTTCTTGAGAGATCTTTGGTGTGCCTTGTTTCCAGCTAGATCAGAAATACCACTACAGGTCAAATTTTTTCTTGCAAAATGTCTATTTGTATATATATCCTATTCCCACCAAAAGCTGAAAGCTATCTGCCAGATATAAAGACTGATGGATCATCTTCATTTACCTTCTCAGTACCTTTGGGATGGGAGTTTATTAAAGATTCAGCCATCGTTTCAAGTAAACCAGTGTCCTATCAGTCCATTTCTCTTGTGCTACCACTTCTGTCTCCAAAATGGAAGCCGCATGCAGTATAAGGGGGGAGAAGAGAAGGAAATCAGGCTTTCTTTTACAGACACGTGGCAAAATGGAGGTCACACCAGGGAACACATCTGAGGCTGTGACAGGTAAGCAAATGAAAGGACATAGAAGAGGGAAAAGATGCAGATGGAAATGCAGCTAAGCCATGAGAGGCTTGGTAGGAAAGCTAAGCACTCAATAGGCCCCTTAGAGGATAAAACAAGACAAAAATGTCTCAGTTGAGTCAAGACTTAGTTTGTTCCCTTGTGAGAAGGAAAAAGCATCGAACAGCCTTTGAGACTGCTCCACCACCCTGCGTTTATCTGGTCTGCTTAGATGGTAAGCTCTTGTAGGCAGGACTGTCTCTTATTATGTGCTGGTAAGGCACAATAGGGATCCTGTTCTTGGTTGGAGCCCTCTGGGCAATAAAGCAATGCTAATAGTAATAATAATGATGATGATGATAAAGGAGCAAGGAGGCAGTCTCATGAAATGTTATGCACTTCCTTGTGGATGTTTATAGCAGCAATCACTGATCGTTCTGGATTTATCTCGTTTATGGAGAGTGAAAGCATGAACTTCCAGCTTCTCCACACGTGAAATAGCCAGTGGCCATTCTGGGGTCTCCTTTCTTCATGCCCCTACATGAAATAGGCTTCAATAAACCCTCCATTGCAGCCCAGGCAGTGTGAAATTGCCTGAGGTATAAAAGGGCTAAACAGCAGTGAGTCAAGGATAGTCTTTCCACTGATTTCACTGGAGGCATTGGGCCAGCTTCAAGGCACCCCTCGGAGAAAGCCAGTTCTTGTCTTGAATCAGGACCTAAGCAAAGGCAAAATTCATGCTAGATGGGAGAAATAAAGCCCATCACTGCAGATGTTCCAGACTGTTTTTGCAGACACCTGATGAGCCACAGATGGGTTCTCAGGTGAGATTCACTGAAGGGAGACACTGCCTCCGAGGGCTGCCTAGTGTAATGTGCACCGTGCACCCGAGAGGCACAGTGCTCCTCTGAGATGAGTGGAAAAGCAGCTGTTCGAACAGCGCGCCAGTGCGATAGACGGCCTGGAGAAGCTGTGGGTTCTCCATCATGGGAGGTGTCCCAAGAGGAGGTTGGATAGGCAGTGGTCAGGGATGATCTAGGGGTAGCTATGACTATGTTCTTCTATGGGTATTTCCCGTGTTTCTCAGCTTTGCTGTTTGCCACAGAGGGCAAGGAGGGAATCCTTTCCCCTCCTGCTGCTACATGTCATGGGGTTTTCTTCAGCCTTCTTCAGAGACATTGGGTGTTGGCTACAGCCAAGGCTGCGAATTTTGACTGGGGTGTGCCAATGCTCCTGCTGGGACTCCATATCCCAGCGGTTCCTGGCTAGAGGGTCTTGCCCCTTTGCTTAGGGTCAGACAGATTGCCGTATTTGGGGTCAGGAAGGATTTGTGCCCCATGGTCAGTTTGGTGCGAATTCTGAGATTT